TGCCCGAGGAGACGCTCCACAGGCCCCGAAAGCCCTGCTCCCCCCCAGAGGCACGAGCACACCGGGTGACCCCCGCCTAGCAGCACGTTTTACCAGCACGGTATGAATTTAATCGTGACATATACACAGGGGCTGCAAGGATTGCCACCTTATCCACGCGAGCGCTCAGGCAAGAGCTCTGGCCTGGATGGGGGTAGACGCTGCGCAAAACTCAACTCTTCTTCCCAAACTTCTCTCTCCAGAGAAAGTTTCCAAGGAATAGCCCAGGAATCGAGTGTAATTTAAAAGAAAATGCACTGTGGGGCTGTTCTCGTTCTGTGCTAAAGGCACAGACCGCAGCCCGCGGTCACACGCTCACGGAGGCTGCAACAAGAGCCGAGCTCAGCCTTCATCGTCTGTAGCTCGGTATTTAATGAGGAGCCACCAGATTTACCAGCAGCAAGGGCTGGGGAGGGCTGCAAAGCAGCTGTGAGCCCGTCCAAATTCACATCCCCCAATTGCAGAGGGATCCCCCCCAGCCTTGCTGACCGTCGCCAGCGCGAAGAGAAGAGTTACGCCGTCGGCAGCGTCGCGTTCGTTTACCTACCGGTGACACCGAGCTAATGGCGACCGCTTGGGAGACGCTCCGCTGCCGGGCCGGCGGCGAGGCAGCACGATTTGTTTTCTTTTCCTTAAATCTCGTTGGATTAAAAGCTACACCGACCCCCTTCCCTAGAATAAATATTGTCTTTATAGACCTGAAAGTCAATTCTGCATCCTTCCACTCACATCCCTGAAAAGAAGGAGATGTATGTGCAGGCGTAGAGATCTTCTCCCTTCCGACGTTGTCCATGGCACGGAGCTGGGCAGGTCGCCAGGAGAACCAACCAGGTTCTGAAGAAATGGAGTCAGAGTTCGCTCTTGGAGTTTTGTTTTTTTTTTTTGGCATTCTTAGCGACGGTGACATATTAAGACATCCCAAATCACCTCACGACTGAGAAAGGAGAGCGACTTTATTTACATAAAGTCATCTGAATCGTTGCCATCCTGTGGGAAGAAAGACAAATCAAGATCATTGTGCACATTAAAACGGAACATGGCGAAACGGGGCAGTCAGCAGGATATCAGAACTGCCGTTTGTGCTGGGTTCCTGCCATTTCGGGTACAAACACCATGAAATCAGACCAAAACAGGCTCTGTGCAGTGGCTATTTGCTGTCCCTGCGCTCCCTGAAACTGCAGCCCAATCTGCCATGACCAGGGAGGAACCAAGAGACCAGCAGCTTCATGGACCATCCTTCTATCAAACCCGAGCTTCTTCCCAATGGGGGGAAGGAAAGCAGCCTAGCGTCACGGGGGGGGTAGGTGCTGAGAGGAGGAAAGCCCCCGCACAGCGTTTCCACCACACCTCGCCCTGGCAAGCACCACTAACCGGGCACAGCCTTGCTTGTGCGTGTCAGGAGACGCTCAAGCTTCAACCCGGTTCAAGTTTCAAAGGGGATCTGCACACCAACCAGGAGGAAAAAAATCAAGAATTCCTGAAAATCGCACGCTCCTCTGAACAGTTAGGCAGGGATAGGATGCAAAAGGTGGATTTTGAGCTCAGGGTCACTCAGAGGAGCGCCAAGATCTGCTTGCCCAAGGTCCCAGCGGATGTGCCAGACCGCAGGCGCATCCAGTGCACGTCAGGACCTCTCCTGAACTTCAGCCCCCAGCCCTCCTGTGATCCAGCTCCTCATTTCCCCCCTGCTGGCCTGGTCTCCTCCCCACTGCAGCTCCTCTTCCACCCTCAGGCACTCTCTCTGCAAGCACATCCCTTCACTCTTCCCCTTCTGCCCCTCAGCACCTGTATTCACCCCTCCCCAAGCTGTCGTCTGTACACCTTCACTTTATTTCTTATTAAAAACGGGCATTTCCCCCGCTTCCTTGAAGTAACAAGGTGGCATACGCCAGTCACGGTTGCCACCGGGGAGACCTCACGAGCCAGGTTGTGCCCAAACAGCTGACGAGAGTCAAGGCTGGTGCCCCACTTCAGCTCTACCTGCTCTTTCACTAGGGTGGGGAGGGGACCGGGAGGACTTTGCACCTTTCCAGCAGCACAGGCTCCCACCTGGCTGACCTACAAGCACCAGGGCCCTCCCAGCAAGTGGAAGGAAGCGGCAATGTCCTTCAGCGAGAAGGGGTGATGGAGATGTGCTCTGTCACTGCAGGAGTCACCCAAACCAGACCGCAATGCGGGAGCTGCACCGTCACCATCCCGCATTGAATTTCAGCCGCCTCCGAAAGGTTTCTGTGGGCATCAGCCGGCTCTTACCTGATTGGAGGACATGTTCTCAGCCTTCATTAACGACGAGTAGCTCCTGCGAAGGGAAATAACATTCTCTTGCCTGACATGTTTTCAAAACCCACCAACAGAGAGGCGCTTTGATAAAACGGGACCAAGTACCAGAAAAAAAACAAATTTTGGTTGGTTTTTTTTTCCTTTCTGAACTCGGGCAGGCCAGACAAGTATTTGCTTACCTCATACTCTTTGGCTAATTAAAACAACTGGAGAAAGCCCAGGCACTGTGCAGACTGCTTCTCTACAGCTTTGCTCAGGAACTACCAGCTCAATCACCCCGGGAGGTAGAAAATCCTTTACTTTGGGGGCTGGCCAAGAGGCAGCTCTGGGGCAAGGTTAAATAAGCAGGCAGGCCCCTTACGCTGCAGCACAGACGTGCCTGCCGGTGGCTTCTCTTCGGTGTAGTTCATCCTCTAAGCCCTCTTTTCTGAGCTCTCCATGTGTTGAATCACTCAGGAAATCCCAGAGTTTTTCAAATTCTCATTTCACTGTCATCTACAGATAAACACGACTTACTAAAGCTTCAAAGCGAGCTTTTGGGGCCAGCCAGCAGATACGTCCGGCGCTGCACGGGGCTGCCAGTACTAAGGAACAAGCTGCAGCACGGACAGAAAGGCCAATGTGACATTTCCAAACACCCTGCCTCATTCTGCGTTTAAAGGAGCGTGTGATTTGAGGATGCACACATGTTTTAGCGAACATTGGTGATGCAAGAGGAAGCTGAAGAACTCCAGCGAAGGCTCAGTGCTTTTCCAAGGTGGGCACAAAGCTGGAAGCAATCGCTCCCATCCCAACGAGAGCACGAGCCAAGCGGCTTGCCCGATTTCACCCAAGGTAGGGACAGGTTTGAAAAGACACAGTCTTTTCTTCTAACAATGGTTTAACATCCAGGTTTATGCTAGGAGAAACGGGGAGAATGTATTTATTCTGAAGACAAAGGAAATCACTGGGCCGTGCAGACGCCTGCGCCAGAGCAGGTCAGCTGAACACCGAGGAATGCCAGGCCGATGGTTAACCAGAAACTGCTGACCCACGACTCCCTCCCAGCGCCGATGAAAACTGCCGAAGCTAGAAGCTGGCACTGCAATTTATGACTTACCTAAGTTCTTCCAGCTCTTTCTTCTTCTTCATCTCTTCCTTTTCCTTCCGCTTCATCTCCTGGATCTGGGCTTTTTTCTCATTTCTCTCCTCTCTGTCCCGGGCTTCCTTCTCAGCAGCCAGGTCTGGGAAGCGCTCCACTTTTGTCTTCTCTAGCCGGTTCAGGATCTCATTCACCTTCTTCTCCACTGTCAGCATTTTCACCTTTGGAGTGCAAAGAACTGTGATCCTTATAAAAAAAATACTTTTATTCTGGCGCTTTCTCAACGGAAAGAAAACACCCTATTTCCACTTCACACATGGCCGAATCCCACAAAAACAGACGCTGAGGAAAATCACTGCCACCGAGGCCTATTCAGCAGGTTGTGTAAGAGCAAAAAGAGGCCCACTCCCACCACTCAGGAGCACATAGCTAATAAGCACAAGCATTGCTAAGTACATAAGCACTACTGATTTCGTTTCTTGGCACATGCCTCAACAAAGAGGCCAAGAGACAAGAACCGGTCTCTGCCGATTCCTGAAGAGGTGGCAGGAGGTCTCTGCAGACCGTTTGGGGACGAGAAGCTCACGTGCTGCTTGTTGACTTCAGGGTTTTTAGCATTTCTCGCCCTAGTAGAGACCTATTTTAGTCAAACAACTGCATCTCTAGAGAGCCTTCTCTCTCAGCAGCCAAGCTGCTTACCCGAAATTTAAGCATAACTCTATCTGGGGACACAAGGTCAGGCTTGGGAATAGCTTAGCACACTGGCCTGACCTTACACCAAAGCTCCAAAGCTCCGCCTTTTAACAGGTTTAACAAATTTGGAGGCAGCACCAGGGTGAGACAGCATTCAGAGCAGAGACAGCAGAGCGAACACAGCGACGGACACCTCCAGGACCCCACACAGCCCTCCTTTGCACGGCACATTCGAGTCCTGAGCCCTTCCAGACGCGTGATTACAGTACTGCCCATGAGCTGATCTAAAGCGACCGCTCCTACACAGGCCCTTCACCTGTAGCAAAAGGTGATTTCTGTGGAGATCAACTCCAGCAAATAGCACGGGCTAAGACGTGATACCGTTCGGCATCAGCAAAGGCTCACCAGCTACACTGTGCTGCAGTGTGGAGACGCACGCTGTACAGGCTACGCTCCACTACAGGCTGACATTCAACCGTGGACTTTCAAGTGATGTTCAGACAAGTCCAAACACACCCCCGGGATCTCTCTTAACCTTCAAGAGCGGATGATTCCCTGGCTTTAGGGCAAACGCTGAAGACAATCCACCCAGCTCCAACCACGGAAACGTTACAGTCTGCCACCGGGTCACTGGCTTGCAGCAAACACTTACATCCTTCTGCCTGTGAAAGCCAATCTGCCCCACATCCATATCTGCAGTCTTCTTCAGGTTAGTCCACGGCGTGTACACCACATTGACGTTGTTCATCTTGCAACCTAGGAAGCAGGGGAGAAAGAAAGGAGGGAAACATTTAAATTCTCTCCCTGCTGTGAAAGAGGTCTTCGAGTCTTCCGCGTGCACGGAAACCGGCAGTTATTCTTGTCGCAAACATTACCAGCTAGGCAAGAAAGAAGAAAACGGAGAAGTCCTTCCAGTGTTACAGTGAAATGGAAGAACACCAGGACATCGTTCTCTGCAGTAACACGAGCGCTGCAGCAGTGTTAACGAACTCCAGATGGAGACCGTCTTTGCCAGAAGAGCCATTACTACGGAAGGGGGCCCCAAGGTGGTGTTAGAGAAGAGACTGCAAGGCCTCCTTGGCTCAGACAGTAACGTGGAGGCACAAACGGGAATTTCAGAGATTTAAAATTCCCTAACAGGCAGCCCCGGCAGCTGCAAGCGACATCTGCTTCCCGTAAGACCCGCAGGCACAGGCTTAGCAGAGAGCACCGCAGCAGAAACGTCATGAATGTTTGATCCAAACCCCACACGCTCGGTGCGGACCAGAAACACTCGCCACAAGCACCTCACACCCATCTCCCGGCGATCCGCTATTACCTTGAATGCTGTTCGCCTTCACTAGATGGGCACAGTCTATCAAAACTTCTTTAGGAATGTCATCCACCGTCTGCCCCTGTGACAGA